TGTGCTGTGTTATTGTGATGTGTTTTATTTTATTTCTGATATTTTGATTTTGTCTTTGATTTTACTTACTGCATTGTAAGTGTTTTAATCTGTGTTTGTTCGGACTTGTCCCTTTGTAAGACGCCCCAAGTCCCTTTGGGAAGATGAAGGTGGAGTATAAAAATAAAGTTATTATATTATTATTATAGAAAGGGGAAAAAGTCAACCTCCCATATTTTCTACCTGCTTTCCAAAATCTGGCCCATAACACGTTCCCCTAATCTTTCTCACTGTTTTTAAATATACAAAAGTCGGAGTGGCTTCAACATAGAAGCTCCCTTCCTTTCTGGAAAATTCAAGCAACCGTCCTTTCTTTAAAAACCCAAACAGCACAAGCCACCCTGCATGTGGGGTGTTGCATAAAACCTGTCTGAAGGGTTAGATGTTTCCCTTTGCCTCAATCTGACAAGCAGATCTGAGGGTGGGAAAGCCTTTCCTATGACTTTTCACTGGAACAAGTTGGTCAGGATTGTATGTGCGTGTGAGAGAGAGACTCACAAAAAGCAGCAGTGCAAAAATAAAAACAAGAGTAACTAAAAACAATGCAAAGTGAGGCAAGAAAGAGAAGATGATTAACACGACTATCACTGTCTTTCCCCTGTTGCCCAACATTCCCAATATTTCTTCCTGGAAAGGAAACATGTGAGTGGGATTGGGGGGATATGAGTTTTAAAGACCATTTAATATATTTGCTGTATTTTAATTGTTTTTACTACACCGTTATTATTTAATATTCTCAAGTCACTCCTGACATGAAAAAGAATATTTATTTTTTTAAACTTTTGTATTGCTCATTATAAACTGAGCAATTGTGTGGATAGAAGTTAGCCGCTTTGAGTCTCCATGGGAAGAGAGGTGGGATATACATAAAGAGATGCTTGGGAAGTGTTCGACTTGTGATTTTGTGATACGAAATCCAGCATATATATCTTGTTTGCTGTGACATACTGTGTTTTTGTGTCAGTAAAATAATAATAATAATAATCAGATGAAACAATAGATCACATCCTCTGCTGCTGCAAGAAGATCGCGCAGGCAGACTACAAGCAGAGGCATAACACTAGATGATTCATTGGAACTTGTGCCACAAATACCATCTGCCTGCAACAAAGAACTGGTGGGATCATAAGCCAAAAAAAGTTACAGAGTTACAGAGAATGACACATCAAGCTACTCTGGGACTTCCGAATTCAGACAGAGAGTTTTGGAGCACAATACTCCTGACCTCACGATCATGTTAAAAAACAAAGAATGGATTATCGATGTTGCAACCCCAGGTGACAGCAGGATTGAAGAGAAACAACTGGAAAAGCTGACACAATATGAGGATTTAAAGATCAAATTGCAAAGACTGGCACAAGCCAGTCAAGGTGGTTCCAGTGGTGATCGTCACACTGGGTGCAGTGCCTAAAGACCTTGGCCTGCACTTAAACACAATCGGCGCTGACCAAATTTCCATCTGCCAGCTGCAGAAGGCCACCCTACTGGGATCTGCACTCATTATTCACTGATACATCACAGTTCTAGACATTTGGGAAGTGTCCGACATGTGATCCAATACAACAGTCAGCAGAGTGTCTGTTGTGGACTCATCTTGTTGTGTTTCAAATAATAATAATAATGATAATAAGTGGTGGGCAGCAAAACACCTGGGATCCATTTTAGTCTTCCAATTTACTATTTCTGCATTCATGGAAACACCTTGCCATTTGCCTTCCCTGCTAAGTGTAGTGAACTTACCACCTCTGAATATTTCTTATGGCATATTTGTCATTTTTACTTTTCTATGGATTTGTTTTTACATTGGTTATACACCTCTGTAGACAGAGAGGTAGGATACCTAAAGTAAGTAATGAGTATTGTTGCTGCTTATGAGTTTATAGAGTTTGATCTAGATCAGGATGGTGAATTACATATATGTAAAGAGAAGGAGAAATCCATTTCTATAGCATCACAAGCCTTTTTGTATTTGCCATGTATGTAGAAGCTGCATTGTCCATTGTAGAGGTCAGAAGGCATAAAATCATTTAGCTCTCTATATGAACTCATTCTATTTTTTAACCAACACATTTAAAATGGTTTTGAAACCATCAGAACATAAGCCTAGGAGGAGAGACAAGGAGAACAACTGCTGCTCATTCAGAAGAATCACTTCATACACTGCTGATTGAGAAAATATTCATTACAACCCACATACAAATGCCTCCTTTCAGTTCACAGGGTCTCATCTGACTGGCATGAGGCTTAGATCTGTCCTCTTGCTCTAGGGAACAATAACAACAAAATGATACTTTCATCAGCTTTTGCCACCACTGAGGGAAATAAGAGAAATCATGGCTGGTGCATATTTTCTTGTAATATTAAATGATGGTGCCCCTTTCTTTGAATCTCCCCTTTCTTTGAATCATACATAGTTGGCATTCAATTATTTCATATGAATTATTTTTTCCTCATTCATATTAATAAAGTCATCTTTTCCTTTATGAAGTATTCTTTTACTAGTTGCCAATCCATTTGAAATCCTGTACTTCCTTGGTTTTCCCCCCAATAGATATGTCAATCTGTCCATGTTCATTATTTCCATTATTTTCAATGTCCATTGGTCCATTGTCGGTGTTTCTTTGCATCTCCACTGTTTGGTATATACTATCCTAGCCGCTGAGATCAGATAGTTAAACAAAACCTATTTATTTCTTCCCTTCTCTATTTCGAACATTCCTAAGAGGTAGTATTTTGGCTCCATGTTTATCTTTAATTGTAAGATTCTTTGGATTCTATCATAGATTTCTCTCCAAAATTCCCTTGCTTTATCACATGCCCACCAGGCATGATAAAAAGTCTCTGCATGTTCCCCACACTTCCAACACTTATTTGACATATTTTATAGCGGTTTGCCATATACATGGACTTCACTGGATGGTCAACACCGAAATCAGATTGACTACATCCTTTGCAGCGAAAGGTGGTGGACATCCATCCAGTTGGTGAAAACAAGACCTGGGGCTAATTGTAGTTCAGATCACAAACTTCTTATTGCTCAATTTAGAATAAAACTAAAGAGATCAGGGAAAACACAGACCAGTTAAATATGATCTCACTAACATTCCTAGCGAATATGCAGTGGAGGTGAAGAACAGATTTAAAGGACTAGATTTAATAGAGTACCAGAAGAACTATGGATGTGAGAGCTGGGCCATAAGGAAGGCTGAGCAAAGGAAGATAGACGCTTTTGAACTGTAGTGCTGGAGAAAAATTCTGAGAGTGCCTTGGACCGCAAGAAAATTCAACCAGTCCATATTTCAGGAAATAAAGTGAGACTGCTCATTGGGAGGAAGGATAGTAGAGGCAAAGATGAAGTACTTTGGCCACATCATGAGAAGACAGGAAAGCTTAGAGAAGACAATGATGCTGGTGAAAATGGAAGGAAAAAGGAAGAGGGGCCAACCAAGGGCAAGATGGATGGGTGTTATCCTTGAAGTGACTGGCTTGACTCTGAAGGAGCTGGGGGTGGTGAAAGCCAACAGGGAGCTCTGGCGTGCACTGCTCCATGAGTTCACGAAGAGTCAGAAGCAACGGAACGAATGAACTACAAAATTGCCAATCTTTGTGGGGTGATGTACCATCTGTACATCATTTTAAGCCAATTTTCCCTAAGATTAGATGCATATGTATATTTTATTTCTTTTAGACCAAATTGATTCCCATTCCTCTAATTTTATAGATGTACCTTGACATTACCTTGACAAATGTGCCTTTTAGCTTTCAGCCACTACATCTATACAGAAGGACAGCAGCTTGCATGGATTTAATAATTGTTCCTAATCTCTGGAGTGCCAGAAATGTTAATATACATCTAGTCTGCTCTGTTACAGGTGATTAGAGTAACTTTTAGAATACACCTTGCTGCTGTTCAGTCACCAAGATGGTTGTTCAAAACCAGTGTGCAGGCAAAAATCTCAGCAGGCAAACCCATTCTATTTAACACAGTAAAAGTATGTGCTAATCCAAAAGCTCCCTCAGCCTGGTGCTCTGCAGATACTCCTGTCAAGGCCACTGGCTGGGAATGATAAGCAATGTTGAGAGCTGCAGTCAAACACATCTGGAAGACAATCAAGTTAGGAAAGACTGGCTGAATCCATGGGAAGTGTATTCCCCTGGCATTTCTAACTACACAGTGACACCCAGCGGATCAGATTTGCAACTGCAAGCTTAGGCTTACAAATAGTTAAACAACATAGAAATCTATAGACTATATTGCGTGTGTACCTTCAATAGGTGGAACAAAAATGTCACAAAACAGCCTGCAAGCATATGTGTTTTCCTGTATTTTTTGAATCAGTATAGATGGTAAAATCAACTTGGGGAAGGGACAGAGAACAAAAACTGTTTTACATTAGAACAGAATCTATATATGATTTTTCTAGTTCAGTGTAGAATTAGATGCTGTAACGGTATCAGACTGTACCTAGCGTGACAAACAATGCAGTGAGGGAAATGCATCTGACAAATCCATTTCCAAGAGTGGGGAACTTACAGTTTCAGGCACTTACTGTACTAACAGTATTGTGGACACATGACAGCAACTTGGAATTTCATTTAAAAAATGTCCTGAGTGACAATTAAATGTAACCATGCATACCATTTAAAATGGAAAAGAACACTGTTGGTATAGATTCACCTCTCTGCATTTCTCTCTCCCTCATATCTGTTTCCAAAGGTGAGCTAGAGAGGCAATGAACCATCTAATCTGTTTGTCAAAACTAAAGCAGCAGCCTTATTTTCAATTTTGTGGTCAGCTTTGTTGCCCTCCAGTACCAAATATGTTGATGGCAGAGTTTCACATGGGGTTTTCCCTCAGTAGATGATGATGAATGACAATGATAATAAGAATTCAATTATTGCCCACCTCTTCCTGTGGCTCAAGGCAGGGTAAAACATTGTTAAAACAAAGATAAAAACACTGATGATGATGATAATAATAATAATTTTATTTTTATACCCCACCACCATCTCCCCGAAAGGACTCGGGGTGGCTTATAAGGGGACAAGCCTGAAATACAGAGTAAAACATACACAATAAAATAAAATGAAAATAAATCAAAATCACAACACCATCATAAAAACAAATACAATCACAAGTACACGTTTTAAAAACAGTATAATGGCTGAAGATTAGGTGCTGAGTACGGAGGGATCAGGAATGTACAGCTGTTCCTAGATAGAGCCCAGGGAATGTGCAAAATACGATTCAATTCAGTTCGAGTCACAGCTAGGAGGGACACAGCTTTAGGGATTTACAGTATAGGATTACAGGTGGGAAGGCCAACAAAAGTGCAAAGGGCTATGGCTAGGTCAATCCAATTATCTAGCGAACTGCCTAATCAAATGCACAACGGAACAACCAAGTTTTTAACTGCTTACAAAAAGTGGAGAGGGTAGGTGCCAATCTAACCTCTTTGGGTAGTGAGTTCCAGAGCCGGGGGGCCACCATCGAAAAGGCCTTCTCTCCCCTTCCCACCAGCCGTACTTGAGATGGCAGTGGAAGCAAGGGCAGAGCCTCTCCAGATGATCTTAAAGTGCATGCTGGTTCATAGGGGAAGATGCGATCTCGAAGATAGGCAGGTCTTGAACCGATTAGGTCTTTGTAGGTGATCACCTGCACCTTGAATTGGGTCCGGAAGATTACGATACACAGAGTTAAAATACCACTTCAAATCTGCTGATGAAATGCAGATTAAAATTAACAGAATTGACTGGGTAGGAAAGTGGAAGAGATAGGTCTTCAGTTTTGTCCTCTAGGTGACAATCGCCAGTCGGGTTCTGGCTGGTTGGAGCAGCAGCTCCCCGGAGGACCTGTGTCCTAAAAGTGGATTGTGCAGGAGAAGGCGATCCTGTAGGTAACCTGGACCCAAAATATATAGGGTTTAATGGTCATAACCAAAACTTTATACTTTGTCCAGAAACTGGCAACCAGTGGAGTGCTTTTAGTATAGCTATAATATGCTCACTTCTAGATGGTCCTGCAACCAATCTGGTTGCTGTGTTTTGAACTAACTGGAGTTCCTGGACTTGGTACAGAGGTAGACCAATTGTATAGTTCAACCTTGAGATTGCCAGCACATGCACTACCATCTTTAGGTCCTCCAGTTGTAGGGATGGGTGCAGCTGGCGTATCAGCCGAAGTTGGTAATAAGCACTTATGCCCTTCACAACTATCTGGGCTGCCATTTGGAGAGACAGATTCAGGAGCATTCCCAAGCTGTGGACAGTCTTTCAGGGGGAGTGTAACTTCGTCCAGAACTGTTTTACACACCTCCATCCCCAGGTTAGAACTCCCGATGGGAAGTTTCCTAACCTGTCTTATCTGGATTCAGTTTCAATTTGTTTTTCCTCCTCCAGGCATTCATTCAGAGGAGACACACTATCCTCAGCTAAAGCTGTTTTGAAGGCACGGAGAAATAGATTTGGGTGTCATCTGCGTACTGATAGCACCCCGCCCCATGCCTACGGATGATCTCTCCCAGTGATTTATTGTAAATGTTAAAACACATTGGGGATAGAATCAGATGCCACATAACAGCTCCTTTTTGGGGGAGTAGCTATCCCCAAGCACCACCACCTGGAACCTGCCTGAGAGGTACAATTAGAACCACTGCAACAGTGTCTTCAATTACCTGTGTGTGTGCCCAGATAAGGAAAATGCTGGATATTTTAAGGTAAGACTTGGAGTTTCGGCTTCATCTGAAATGGCAATGTAGCTCATGGGCAGGTTGAGGTGGGTGGAGGTCGAGAAAACAATCTGTAGTACAGCCATCTTTGTAACGGTTCTCCACCTGAGGCAGGATTTTGAGAATCAACTAAATGTCAGTTTCCAAAGATGTACTGCCACATGAACATGTAGAAAGGCCACTAAAATCTCCCAAGGTGTGTGTGATGGGAGAATATTTTCCCCCTTCCCAGGACAATTGCTGGTCACAAGATATGGCAGAAGGGCTCCAGCTGAAAACTGGAACAATGGAAGAACCCAAGATAAGGCAACGTCATCATTACTTCACCGACAGTTTCTGCCACATTAATCCTTCTTGTGATGGTCTCTCAGCCTTTAATTGATATATATCCAACCTGTGTCCCAAAGTTCTCACCATCACGGACATGAGAATAGAACTGATTGGGGCAACATGATGTACAGAGAGTGATATTTTGGTTTGGGTCCATCACAGAATCATCTTGAATGTTCTGAGGAAGAACTCCTCCAGCTTCCAGAAGAACACTTTTCCAGGAAGAGAAAGAAAGAAAGAAAGAAAGAAAGAAAGAAAGAAAGAAAGAAAGAAAGAAAGAAGGGGAAAGAGATGATGATTATATTATAACAGACACCTGTTTGAAAGAGCTATTCTTCAAGCTGATTTATGTGCCCCTGTATGGCAGGAAGTTTCCCGCCGCTTGTCCAGCTGGCGGGAAACTTCCTACCGTGTGGAGGGCTTCTGGGAAGAAGAAGACCCCTGCAAGGAGCATGGTTGGCAAGAAGGCGCTCACCGCTGCAACGGCCCTTGCCCGGTAAGTCGGGCAAGGCATTTCTGATTTTAAAACCATAAAATGTATAAAAATGGATTAAAAATATTAATTCTAACACTAAAAGAATATTATAACTCATAAAAAGTTAGGATTTATAGTAAATAGGATTTTAAATACTGTGTGTGTCAAACACATATACACACACACACACACACATATATAGTGTCCTTACTTAGCGCAGGTGGTCCTGGAACGTAACACCCACGATAAGTGAGGGAACCATGATCACCTCTTTCCATCTATTCTCTCCAAGCGAAACCTCTACACTCTGCCAGTGATTAGGTATCTCACACGGCAAACTACACATACTATATCAACATGGATAATAAAAAAGGTGAAGCTTACCGTGTAGCTCTTCGGATATCAACGTAAGGATGTGAAGATTCATAAAGTCTTACACATTTTGGATCAATCATGTGAAATTTTTGGGCTGATCCCTGTGGTAGTTTAAAGCAACAAGGCCCAACAGATGGCCCCAAGACCACAAGGATGTCTTTCACGTTACAGCCATATTCTGTTATCATAGCATTAACAACAGCCATAGAAACGCCTTGCAAAGTACCTTGCCAACCTGAGATGCAGGGGAAGAAAGGAAATGTGACAAAATTTAGGATTTTGAAGAATGGAAGAAAACCCAAGACCACAAATCCTATTTTCAAAGTTTGTGTAAACGTGCAGGACTGGATGGAGAAATGTGGATTTAATTTAGTTTTTTAAACATCAAGTATGAAGTCCAAGACAACTTGGAGGCTAACAACACCAGAGAGAGATTTTAAAAAATACCGTGGGAATGCCTCCTCTAAATTATAGCTTCCAGTGAACAATTTAGGCTCTTTGTCCACTATGTTCTAGATAACACAAGGTGGCACGGAAGTGTGTATGACGAATCATAATTGAAGTTAAGTCTGGCATGACAGAAAGCATCAGTACCGTTATCATTCTGAATAACCATTTAAACCAGAGTTTTCCTTTCATGTTGGTGGCACATTTTTTAGGCACACAGCATTTTGTGAAACAGTAAGTCAGTTTTATTAGCAAACCAGAGGACAGAATTTCGCCCTGGAGGTTATATCAACCATTTTTAAGAAATAGCGATACATACATAAATTGTAATAATGAAATGTATGGGAACACAACCTATCTCATGAAAACCTTTCATTTATATGTTCAAAAATATATGATTTATTTGTTATTTCACATAGACTCAGCGGTCTGCATGACACACCTATACACTGCAGCCTACACATAAATGTGTCACAACACAGAGTTTGGAAAGCTCTGGTTTAAAGACTGCAAAAACATATTATCCACTGTTACTAAACAAAGAAACAGGAAGCAGTGACAAGAGACTACAGCAACATAGGAAAGGATAAGTCTTCACTTCATTCCAACAAAATAAATCAGCAACATGGGGTGGAACAATAACCAGAATGTTTTTTTAAGTTGTACATCTTCTCTATTCACATCAAGTCCAACTCTATTATCATTCCAGCTTTCCGATTAGGGAAGCGGCTATGATAAAGATAGAATATTATTTCAATGAAATTAAGTATTTTCAATTCCTGCTTAAAAAGTTAAAAACCTATGGCTTCAATTAAGGACATAAAAAGTATATTACAGCCAAAAAGATTGCTCCCCAACTGTAACTGTAGAGCAGTGGTTCTCAACCTGTGGGTCCCCAGGTGTTTTGGTCAACAACTCCCAGAAATCCCAGCCAGTTTACCAACTGTTTGGATTTCTGGGAGTTGAAGACCAAAACATTCGGGGACCCACAGGTTGAGAACCACTGTTGTAGATGTATTTTTGAGGGGTAAAGGAGAATGATGGTGAGAGAGTGAAAAATCTCACTGAAAAACACAGCAGCAATTAATGATGTTTTTAAAAGTGAGAATACATCCTAAGGCAGAAAAAAGGAGAACAGCATCTCCAACTAGGAAAGTTTACAAAAAGATTAAAACCATAGGTAGGTTTGTATAATTGATTCCTTTTGCAAAACAGCAAAATAATATTTTTACCTGAATGAGCAGCACCACATGCTTTCTGAACTGGATCAGCAAAAAGAACAGGGATACAATCTGCTCCAGGAGCAGCAATTGTTACCCCTTTCTGGTTAGTTACTATTCCATCATAGCTCTCTGGTTTGGCCTTTCCCATCACCCAAACATCACTGGCATGGTTGACCTGTGAACAGCAAGAAAAAGAAAGGGAGCTGAAAACCAGGATTGTTGTGTGTGGTCTTCTGCTCAAACATCTCCTGCAAATTTATTTACTTAACAACTTTGGGTACCACTGTGGGAGAAAGGTGGGATATTAATGTAATAAATTAACAAACCACACCCAAATTCAGTGTTAAAAAGCCTTGATTCACACACTTCAGAGTTATGAAAACTACATGGTGAAACTCTGAGCTCCAGCAGCCAAGAACAGGAACAAAAGGTAGATAGGCATGTGCTCAGATATATGATCTGAGAAGTAATACTGAATTCACAACCTTTCTGCATAAAAATAAGCTCTTGGTCAGGATCTCACTAACAGAGATTTCCTCATTCCAGCAGAATAACTGTGAGGATGTGGTTTTCTTGTTCTCCTGTTGTATAGTGAAAGCCAGAAATCTTTATGAATCAGTCAGAAAGCCTGATCTAAACTTTGCCCATTCCCCGCTGAAATGGTCAGAAGGCAGGTCAATGACTGCCTATATCCACATGAAATTTTTTGCCAGCTTGCGGAAGTCATCCTCCTTGGAGGGTTACTTCAGTTCATCTCCAAGAAGTCAACAAAAATGATGAAGTCATTTTCATGAGCTTCCACTAGTTACTTCCCTTTACACCAGCAAGGGGAACTGTCTGGCCTGACAAATGTTGTTGAACTGCAAGCTGTGTGGTTATGTGTCTTTAAGTCATTTCTGACTCATGGCAACTCTAACAAGTCACACCAATCACAGAGTTTTCTTGACAGAATTTGTTCAGGGGAGATTTGCCTTTGCTTTCTTCCGAGGCTCAAATCACTACCCCATGTTGGCTCTACTCCATGCTGGTATTCTTATCCATTGGCTTTGCTTACCAGGGCTGCTGGACTACAACATCAGGAGGCAAAGATTAAACCTTTAAGGTGTATGTATCAAATTTGAGGCCCACAGGTCAAATCCTATGTCATTTTATGTGACCTTCAATATGCTGGACTACAACTCCTACATGCCTCACTACTAGAGATCATGACTATGATTGATAGGAGTTTTGATGTAGTAATATCTGGAAGGCTGCAGTTTGTTCTGGTTAGTCAGGAGAATGGGGTTTGGATTTAGACACAAGGCTTGCAGATATGATGCCTAACTTGAAAATGCCCTTTCACCTGTCCCCAACCTCTGAGCCACAAGGGCTGTTGGGTTGTAATCCCTATGATCCCTTGTTTGCCAACAAGATTCCAGAAGATGCTTTCCCTGAGTTCTCCCATTGCTTTGCCCAGAGTGCCAGATACATTCTGAAGTTCAACCCTAGTGATCACAGGGGCTCTTGCAGAGCAAGATTTCCTTTCTTCAATATGCACTTTGTGTAGACCATCATTCTTGTGCTAATCACAACACAGGATACAATTAATACAAAATTACAAATGTAATCTTGCTATCACCGAACAGTCTTTAGCCTTCTTATGAAATTGTGCTGCTTCTTATCTTTTGGCCTCGTGTTGCGTCTTATCTTTTGGCATGCATTTCTCCCTTTGTTGCATCTCCTCCTCGACACCAGCTTGAAGAAATGTGGCTGGGACTTGAATGGAATTCCATAGCCTTGTGAAATACGGAAGCTTCCTTATCTTCCTAAACTACTGTCAGAGATTCTTGAATGAAAATTATCTTTTACCTACGAGTCTCCCAAGCAGGTTGAACAGGAAACTGCAGGTTTAAGAAACTGAGCTGTTCCCTCAAAGCAGGGGTGTCAAACTCATTTTCATCAGCTTTAGGTTTGCCTTCAAAGGGCCACTGAATCCATGGACAAAAAATCCATCGATCCAGAGGGCCAACAATGTATTTTTTACATAGTGGTCGGTGCTCTTCAGTTATTACCCGGTTTGGGTCCCAGATGACAATGAATGGTAACTCCTATCACTTTTTATTACCTGCAGTGCGGATTGGGGATAATGGACATTGAAACGGCTTTGGCCTGTCTAGATCATGAAAAGGTTCCTATGTCTTTAAGAATTACACATAGGGATTAGCCACATCTGGTGCAAGGTGGTCTTAAATTTATGTGTGTATTTACTTAATTTTTATCCTGCCTTTCTCCCAACACAGGAACTAACAGCAAACATAATGCAAATAAAAAGAGCAACTCTATTAAGTTAAATTAAAACAAGAATATAAAAATGAGGAAAAATATTTGATTCACGAAGCATGCACATTAAAATACAATTAAAACTACACAGACCCCCAAAACTCACACCATTCCCTCAGCATCTTGTGTCTTATTATTCCCCAAATACCTGATGGGAGAGTTACATTTTCACCTGCCTACAAAAAGCAAGCAGGAACGGGGCCATCCTAGTCTCTCTGAGGAGGAAGTTCCAGGGCCGTACCTTTACACTGTGATATGTATCTTGGTTGAATCCAGCAGTGACGGCTAACCTACGAAGGTTTTCCTTAACCACTGCAGGTGGGTCACGTCGCTTGGAGCTGCAGAAGAGGTTGAAGGAGCTCAGGGTTGGTATATAGGAAATGCCACCTGTCCTTGTAGTGAATCCATGGAGGAAGATATGATCTAAGGAAGCATTTTTTTTAAAAAAGACAAAAAGCACTTTAAGGGTATAGATTTGTTATAAGCCTCATGAACAACTACAATATGTTGTTATAAGTTCCAGCACAACAATGGGTGCAACATAGGGACTCAGAGCGGTTCACAACAAAGTAAATGGCAAAAAATCAATGCTTCACAAAATATAAAATACAACACATTACTAAAATAGCATATAACAATAGATTAAAACCAGTAAACTTTAAAACATTGGACATAGATAACATAAAACATAGAACATTCGACATTGCGCCAAACCTGAAGTTATCTTGACTACTTCATCTCACTCCCTGAATGCTTGCTTGAAAAGGGACATTTTAAGTAGCAAGTAGTGATTTATTTGATAGGTTATGTGCACTGGGACTGTGGAGCAGTTGGTTGGGAGTCAGCTGCATTAAGATCACTACTGACCGAAAGGTAATGAGTTCGAAGCCCGCTCGGGTCGGAGTGAGCTTCCGAGAAAAATTGTGTAACTTGATGTTGACCTTTGCAACCCGAAAGACAGTTGCATCTGTCAAGTAGGAAATTTAGGTACCACTTATGTGGGGAGGCTAATTTAACTGATTTACGAGGCCATAAAAATCTCCAGGAAGTATGCAAAGAATGAAGAAGTACTTCATCAGTGTCATAAACAGATGGTGAAGCGACAGCTCCCCTGTTGGCCAGAAGCTGGAATGTCAAATAGCCTCTGTCTGTCTATATATGTTGTGTGTCTATGGCGTTTAATGTTTGCCATGTATATGTACACTGTAATCCGCCCCAAGTCCCCTGCGGGGTGAGAAGGGCGGAATATAAATACTGTAAATAAATAAATAAATAAATTTAATTTTAGATGTTAAGTTATAATTTGTTTTTATAGGTTGGGTTATTATTTTTCGCTATTATGTGTGTATTGGTTGTTGTATTCAGGCCTTGAATGTTTGCCTTTTTGTGACTGGAATCTGCCCTGAGTCCCTTTGGGGAGATAGGGCAGAATATAAATAAAGTTATTATTATTATTATTATTATTATTATTACTATTATTATTGCCCAAGATTTCCATGATCAAACAGGAATTTAAATCTTGGTCTCCCAGTGTCCCTAGCAACACTCGAACAATTGCATCATGCTGATTTTCCAACTTAGCGACATATATAACAAAATCTGCATTACCTGGAATCAACGAAGATTTGAGAAGGGTGAGTTTCCCTTTCAGAGGAGGTAGATTTTCAAAAAACATCTTTATCTCACTTTGGATCTTTTCTGCATCTTGGCCTGAGAGTGACATTAATTCACTCTGTGGTGCTGATTTTGGGCTATTATTTTCTTCACAAGTCACCTCTAAATCTTCATACTCAATCTGGTAAATGCTAGTAAAAAGCTGACTGGTATACTCTTTCATTAGTGGCTTTCTTTGTGAGGGCAAGATTATTTTAATTACATTTATATCTTTTTCATCGAGCTTCTGTTTAATGGCGTACAAAGTGGCGACCGTATTTTCAGAACACACAATCTCAAATCTTCCCTTTGGGCAGTGAAAACTCTGCATTGTTTTTTGGAGCGCATCTTCACCATTCTTTTTACTTTTTAAGGCTTGGCAACACATAAGGCAAACAAATGGAGCCTGCGAAGGAATTTCCTCCTCCCCAACAGTTTCTAATGCTCTAATTATTAAGTTCTGAATCTGGTTATTCCAAGAGTTGGCTCCGAGGTGCCACAGATCAATTAACACTGCTTTTGCCATAGTGCACAATCTGGAAAATCCCTGAAGATGTTGGGTGTTTAGTGATGAACCTGTAAAGAAAAAGATCCAAAGAGAAAATATATTTTGAAAATGTTATATTCTTTGTTTGACCAGTTTGTTCGTATTGAATGCATATTCCAATTGAGAAAACCCATAATCAAGTTGCTGTTTGCTTCCAGGTCAAAAGTCATCTTGGCAAGATTATTTTCACTTTTGCATTTCTCTGAGGCTGAGAATTATAAGTTGCTTACCTGTAACTGTAGTTTCCTGAGTATAATCCTGTGAATACGCACATATGGTAACTCTGCGCCTGCGCAGCTCAGCGACCGGAACCTTTAAAAAGTAAAATGACCGTTTAGACTCCCTCTAGCCACGCGCCCCCCTCCCTCATCCTATATATAGCCCGGGGCAGTGGCCGTTACTCAGTTCTCTTCCACTAAAAGCAGTAGAGCTGGCATGACCTTCAAGGGGAGGAGGGAGGGTGATGTGCGTATTCACAGGATTATACTCAGGAAACTACAGTTACAGGTAAGCAACTTATAATTTCCTGTCGTAAATCCTGTGAATCGCACATATGGTAGAATAGCGAGCAACTGACCGTGGATGGTGGGAGTCATGCCACAGCCGAAAACAGGACCGCTCTGCCGAACTCCGTGTCCTTCCTGGAGACCACGTCCAGCTTATAATGGGTCACAAACGACAACGGTGATGACCATATAGCTGCCCGACAAATCGCATCCAGCGGAACGCCCTTCAGGAAAGCCGCTGACGTGGACATCGACCTCGTGGAATGGCCCTTGACCTGTTGAGGCAAATCTTTCCCGGCTAAGCAGTAACACAGCCGGATTAGAGAAACTATCCACCCTGACAGTCTCTGAGAGGATAATTGCAAACCCCTTGCATCTCTACGGTATTTTACAAATAGTCTATTGGTTTGTCGGAAAGAGGACGTCCTATCCACGTAGAACGCTAGTGCTCTACGGACATCTAACAAATGTAAACTTCTTTCTACAGGAGACGTGGGGTTTTGATAGAAAGCCGGAATAACGATATCTTGGGACATATGGAATTTTGAAGAAACTTTAGGTAAAAAGGCCACATCTGTGCGAAGCACAGCCTTATCCCTGTGGAATCGTAGGTACGGAGGATCTACCCTCAAAGCATTTAACTCACTAGCCCGGCGTGCAGAGGTAATAGCCATCAGGAACGCCGTCTTCCAGGAAAGATAAGGTAAGTCTACAGTCGCCATAGGCTCGAATGGAGGTCTTACTAATCGTGACAGGACTATATCCAAACTCCACCCTGGTGCTATGGGAGCTACAGATGGTTTGACATTAGCTACTCCCCTCATGAACATCTTAACCATTGGGTCTGTGAAACAAGAAGGATAACCCTTCTTCCTCTTATACCACGATATCGCGGCCAAATAACACTTGAGGGAGGAGTGTGATAAGCCCGCTTCTAATAAAGATACGAGGAACTCTAATACAGCAGATATGGGGGATTCAGTGGGATCCAACCGTTTCCCCTTACAAAACTTGGAGAACCGAGTCCACTTATAGATGTAGGAGCGTCGTGTAGACGTCCTGTGTGCTGCCTCAATAAACTTCAATACAGACTGCGGCAGTCCAGAATAACCCGTCAATGGTGCGGGAGGACTCGCCAGGCAGTTAACTTCAGCTTGTTCACCTCTGGGTGCAAAACCTGACCCTGTTGTGTGGTGAGTAGGTCTGTCCTGCATGGCAGGCGGACGAATGCACCCCTGGCCATCTGATAGAGAAGAGAAAACCACGGCTGTCTCGGCCACCATGGTGTGACTACTATACATTTGGCTCTGTCCTCCTGAATCTTCGCTATGACCCTCATTAGGAGGGGAATTGGCGGGAAGGCGTACAATAGCCGTCCCGTCCACCTCATCAGGAAGGCATCTCCCAGGCACCCGTTTTCTGGACGAGCCCGTTGTCGGGCACAATACAGTGGACATTTGGAATTGGCTTTCGTCGCGAATAAATCCACTTCTGGGAAACCCCACGCTAGAAATAGTCTGTGTGCCTCTTGTGGATGTAGAGACCACTCGTGGTGCACCAATGGGTTTCTGCTCAGTGCGTCTGCGAGTGTGTTCTGTTCCCCTGGAAGATGACTTGCCAATAGATGTATATTCCTTTCTATGCACCAGTCCCAAATTTGTACCGAGAGAGCCAGTAGCTCTCTCGAATGCGTCCCCCCTTGCTTGTTCAAGTAAAACATTACTGTTGTGTTGTCTGTTACGATGTGAACAACCTGACCCAGAATGACCCTTTCGAAGGAGTGAAGAGCCCTTTCCACTGCCAGAAGCTCCAATACGTTTATGTGCATGTCTCTTTCCCGACTTGACCACACACCGTGTGCCATAAGGCCCTGGGAGTGAGCTCCCCATCCCATAAGGGAGGAATCTGTGACAATAATCCTGGTAGGATATAGATGGTGGAATTGGAACCCAGAGCAAACCCATGCTTCGTCCTCCCAACAAACTAGAGAGTCCCGAACCACTGGCGGAAGGAAAAGCTTTAGCTCTGGGCTGCTCGTCAACGGGTCGAATACTGTCAGAAACCATGACTGTAGGGTTCTCATTCTGAGTCTTGCGTAATGGTTGACTGAAGTAGTGGCTGCCATGTGACCTAGTAATACTTGAATCTGTCTTGCTGGAATGCAATACGAGGTTCTCGCCTGCCTGACAAGAGCTTGTAGGTTTGCAAACCTGTCCCTTGGAAGAAACGCTTTCTCCGAAACGGAGTCCAGCATGGCGCCGATGAACTGGATTTTGCGGGTAGGTGTTAGGACCGACTTCTCCCAGTTGACTACGAGACCCAACGACTGGAGAAGAAACAAAATGGTAGATACTTGGTCCTGCAATTGTTCACACGATCTGGCTACTACCAGCCAGTCGTCAATGTATGGGTACACCGTTATTCCCTTTGTCCGAAGACATGCAGCCACTACAGACATACATTTAGTGAAGACTCGCGGCGCCGTCGAAAGTCCAAAGGGAAGAACGTTAAAACAAAAGGCATTATGACCTATCATAAACGAGAGGTACCTACGGTGTTGTGGAGCTATTGATATATGGAAGTATGCATCCTTTAAATCTATTGAGGCAAACCACGCTCCCTTTGGGATAAGGGGCAAAATTGAGGTAAGTGAGACCATTCGAAATTTCTTTGTAGTTATGTGATTATTTACAGCTCTGAGATCTAGGATCGGACGTAGACCACCTCCACGTTTATTAATCAAAAAATATTTCGAGAAAAAACAGAATTTAACTTTATCAACACACACCGGAGAAATTGCTCCTTTCTCTAATAACATATTTACCTCCTCTAATAGAGGAGTGGACTCCTGTGTTCGTCTAACATTTCCAACTCTAGGTAAGTCATCAAACTCTATACAATAACCTGAACCGATAATAGATCTAACCCACTTGTCCGTGGTGATTTTACACCAGGCATCATAAAACTTACTCAGTCTATCCCCAAACATAGGAACATTTGACTTTAGAAAACGAGTATTTGTTAACACGTCAACCTTAACACCAATCATATTGTTGACCAACAGAGGAGCTATACTGGTGGTGGTAATATTTAGGCCTTTTTCGTCAAAGACGCTTCTTTTGGTTGAACTGCCCCTTAGGTTTATTTTGATATGGCTGTGCCCTATTCCTTGGAAAGTATGTATTCCTTCTTCCCCCTTGAAATCTAGAAGCTCCATTGCCCCTATTTCTAAAGGGCCCAGTATAGAAATTATTATAAGATCTACGGTAAGGTTGCTGTTGCCACCTAGGTCTTTGCTGCTGGAACGGTTGCCACGTGTAGCCGAATTTATTTGCGGCTTGACGGACATCCTGCTTTTCTTTTATGTTGACATCAGTGTCTGGATTGAAAAGCCCCGCATCATGAAAGGGAAGGTCTTCCGCTAAAGCCTTCCCTTCTTCAGAGAGGTTAGACGCCCGTAACCATGCGTGTCTCCTAATTGCAGTTGCTGTCGCAAACAAGTTTCCTGCTACCTCTGCTAAATGTTTAGCAAAGTCTTTCTGAAATTTAGAAAGCACCATTGCTTCTGCTTGGAGTACTTTGGGTAGGTGCTGTTCATCCCTAGGAAGAGAATCTATACTAGGTAAAATCTTTCTCCATAAATAAGACTGATACCCACTCATATAAGTAGCAAAGTGGACCATGCGGGTAAACAACCCCGCCGCCAAATGTGCCTTTTTGCCTAAAGAATCTAATCTTTTACCCTCTCTATCTGGAGGTGTGGTTAGAGTGCCCTTAGGGCGCTTTGACTTCACTACCTCAGCTACTACCGTGTTCGGTTTTGGGGGAGTAGCAACCCATTTAAATGCAGAAACATCAATCCTATACATTGTATCCAGCCTTCTAGGGATAGCTGGGACCATAAAGGGGGAAATATCTACAACTTTTGCCAGTTTCAGTAAATATGGCAGTGCCGGCAATGACATTGGAGGGGAAACATTTTGTTCTTCAGAAGGAAACATTGGATCCTCAACATGTTCAGGTGGTTTTGGAGATGGAATCCCAAGCTCCTTTACCATTCTCTCCATTAGTGCATTAAACCTACTATAGTCTGTTAATTGAATACCATTGTTTTCCTCTCCCCCCATTTGAATTGTTTCTGGGGAGTCTGAATCCGAAGTCATGTCAGGCAGGTCATTTGCAGTCATTTCCGGTGGAAACCTAGATGCTGCTTCCACATTTATTAAGTCTTGATCATCATTTGGCTGAGTAGATGCAGAAGCTAATGCATTATCTGCAACCTGAGGTGCTTGTCCTCTTATTTGGTTGACTTCGGTAGGGTTTCTATCATGAGTGACCTCTTGAGTTGCTGCCGTCTCCTGCACAGCAAGTCTTCTGTAGGACACCATATTACTATTAACCGGAACAACAGGCAGAGAAATAACTGCATTATCTTGTGTTGTAAGTGTCCCATCAGCATGCCTCATAGTGTTTACAGCATTACTTGTGCCAATAGGTAGAGGAGTAGCTGTGTTTTGTCTTTC